GGGTTGAGTGCATATTCTTGTTTAAAGGATTTATTTAGGATATCATTCATTATTACATTTAAAATAATAGGCGAGAGAATGCATTCTTGTTTAACCCCTATTTGGTTTAAAAGGTTGTGATTTTACATTTAGATGTTGAGGTACTACGCTATGATTGTCATAAATTATCTTAATTAGCGATCAGATGCTTATCTATTCCTATGTTTTCCAGCAAGGGCCATATCTTGTGCTCTATAATGGAATCGAAGGCTTGACTTAAATCAATCATTAGGGCAAAGATGGGGGATTAATGCATTCTAGCTTTTTCCAGAATAACTTTAAGTGCCATAGTCAACTCCGTAGTATTTCTACCCTTCCTGTATGATGTGATATTGTTAGAGAGGAACCTGTTGATGATTGGTTTAATCCTGACAGTTATGATGTATGTGAACATTTTTAGGGTAACTGGAATCAGTGCAATACCTCTGTAATCCTTAAGGCTGTTTGGGGTCTTGTTTTTAGGGAAGTTTAGTATTATTGATGTCATCCATTTGTCAGGAAAATTTAATTTGAAAAAAAAATCATTTGAAAAATGCCCCCAAGGAAAATTAAAATTTCAAATTTAGGTTAATAATTTAAAATTAATTATATTTTAAAACCGTTTTGAACCGGTTTAAAATATTTATAACGGTTTGGCTCGCTCTTTTTATATTTTCTTTATAACGGTTCGGTTAAAGTTACGGTTCAGAAAATCATAACGGTTCATTGCGGTTTGGCGGTTCGGTTCGAAACCCTGATCAAAATATAAATAACTCTTATTGCAAATGCAATACTTTTATTAAAAATGGTATAATATAAAAATATATAAATATTATGAGAAAGAATTTATTATAATTAAGTATTGAATAAAAAATTTTATGACTAAGAAGATATTATAATCTTATTGCAATTTTTTACACAAATAATATTTAAGTGATATTTTGTGGAACAATTAATGCCATTTTTAAAACATTGGCATCTCTTTTTGTTGCAACTTTTTTTGCAATTGCAAATTGATTAATTACCATAAGAAGATGCAGTTCTTGATGCGGTTATTATAGATGGTCTTATTAGGAATAATTAAATTATTGATTTGTGAACATTAGTTTTTAAAAGTGGGGAATCAATTTTTCCCAAATTTGTTCCAACCCATAGTTTCGCGCTCTCTATTTGGATAATTTTGCCTTCAATATTTTTGGGACATACATTTGATTTATCATTTTTATTTATTGGGATCAGTACGTGATCCCCAATGAATAATTTTATTTTTCTAATTTTATTTTTGTAAACATGGTCTTACTTATTCATATCTATTTATAGGTAATAAATGAAGGCAATATAGCTAAAATATTTTCTATGCTTTTACCTATTGAGTTTGTGGTATTTATATCTTGCCATATTTTATATTTCGTCCTCTACGAAAGAATATATTTAACATTGTAAAATGATTCGTAGGAATTCCGCCTTTTTATTTTGTGAGCAACGTCCGCTTAATAAAATTAATATAATCAAAAGATTTTTTGATTACTTTTTATTTTAATTACCTATTATTTGATAATCATAGCGTTATTTTGTGTTGATAAAAATATTCCTGACCTCCCCCCCCCCCCGCCCCCAACACTAGATACGCATTCTTAGAATGATAATTATTACAATCAAAAGTTAATTTAATTACCTTTATTTTGATACCCATATCAATTTTTTTTATTTTTTACCCCCTCCCCCCTTAGATCAAGTCCTTCCAATCAAGACCAAGAATGAATGCTTTCAGTCAAAAGATATTTAAATTAGCTTTTATTTGATACCCATATCGATATTTTATGTTGATAAAAATATTGCTGATCCCTCCAGGGTCTAGACCCGCCCACTTTGATTGATAATGATTATTACAACAATATTTTTATTACCTTTTATTTGATATCCATATCAAAAAAAATTATTTTTTAACCCTCCCCCCTCCAGACTAGGCTACCCATTAAGACCGAAAATGAATGCCTTCAGTCAAAAGATATATAAATTTTATTTGATACCCATATCGTTATTTTGTATTTATAAAAATATTCCTGACCCCCCTTGACCTAGACCCGCCATAATTATTATTACAATAAAAAGATATTTAAATTACTTTTTATTTGATGCCCATATTAATATCTTTTATTTTTACCCCCCCCCCCCCCCCCCCCCATCAAGACCAATAATGAATACTTTCAGTCAAAAGATATTTAAATTAGCTATTATTTGATACCCATATCGATATTTTGTTTTGATAAAAATATTCCTGACCCCCCCAGACCTAGATTTGCCCATTAATGAGGAAATGTTGACATCTAGTTAAATAGATCATTTGATAGCTATCGATTGATACCTATATTCGACATATCTACTTTCATAAGCCCCCAATAAATCTTTAAAAATAAATAACAAAAATTTTTAAAAAAAATAAAGTAAAACGCGTTTTAAATTAAGATTCTTCTTACACAAGCGTGATAATACCGTATCTTTATCCTTTAAAAAATTGAATTCTTAAAGGGATCCCTTTAAAACCCATGTTCATCGGATAGCTCTGATCCCTTTAAAAATTACGACATATATATTCCAATTTACATTTAATTCACAACAGAAAGAAACACGTTACTAATTTATTCTATGAATTAATATCGATCAAATTCCTTTAATATTTCTCTACCATTTAAAATTTCCCACCAAATATTTTTAAACCGTTTCCCTATTAAACTAAAGTAAAATATTTTTAAAAAATGACATCGATTTAATTGAGACAATGAAAATAGCTGAAAACATTATCCTGAAACTTAAGGAAATTAGGGCGAATGTTGAGTATATGTCATTGAGTCAAAAGCAGAGCTTAAAGAATTTAATATTTTTGATATCTATTGGTAGCAAAGCAAATCCATCGCTCCAATATTAATGTAGTCAGTCGAAGGATATTGTAATCAAAACTTTTTTTTGAGAATAACTACAGAAAATTATTTCCATTTCTAGAAATATTTTCAGGTATCATCCTATAAGTCAAGTTTTTATTGATAATATTTGCCATACTGGTAACACTCATAATGCATTAGTTTATAAAATTTACAGAAGATTTACCATCTTCAACTTTTTCCACACCGTTAGGATCACTATATTTTTTGCTTGTATTAGTGCTCAAATATTTCAAAAAAATTTGAGGTTAATGTTTTAAATTTACATAATGTATATAAAGTTTCCGATTCAATTTTAGTTTGCTATATATAAATATATATTTATAAGACACTTGTATTAGTCGCGCATTTTTATCATTAAACCAAAAGTGCTTTTTCACGTGCCCAAGTTTTTTAAATCTTTAACCTGTTCATAATTTTTCGTCCGAATCTCCATCCTTTTATGATTCATTTTATTCACATCTTTGCTGATCGGTCAAATAAGATTCTCCAATTATATTCTTTATTTGCAATCAATTTTAATAATCAAATAATAAAAAATTTCCAAAGGCCCTAGTTTTTATATAATTATTAGGCCCATGAAACTTTTTCTCACTTTACTTACTGGCTAGCCCCCTCCCCCGAATTTAATGAGTTTAAAGAAATTATGATAATGGAATTAATAAATAACTGATTATTATAATAAAAATGCATATTTAGCAATTCAGATATTACTTATCCCAGTCCCAGAATATCTTAGAACAATTACAAACTTTAGCAAATATGAGAGATATGTTGTTATTGAAATATTTTTTACATATTTAATAAAAACCTTGCAAATAATTCAGTTATGTGGAATGTCATTTAATATAATTTAGATTTTCTAACTATCCTTTATTTAATGTATCTCTTAATTCAATATTGTAAAACATGTATTATAATTTTAAGATATTCATTGCCTACATTATTCATGTCATTACATTTATTAATGTAAATTAATTTAGTCTTATCTTAATAATTTGGTCTTGTAAGTACTTTATATGCTTCTTATATTTTAACAAGCCTTAAGGTAATAGTGGTCTATCTTCTGGAAATATAGTACCATTTTGCAAATTATTTATTAAAATATTCTGTAATATAAAAATCAGCTGCATAATAAAAAACGTTTTGTTTATAAATGGCTATCAATTATTTATAAAAATATAGTATATAATAAAATATATATTTGCCATATTTGAGTCACCGTTACTCAAAATTCGTTACCTTTAAAAACAAGTAACGAATAGCGTTCCTTCCTAGAAATGGTAACGCCGTTTCTCTCGTGGACGTTACTTTACGGCACTATTAAATTTTATAAAAATTGAAATAAAGTAATTACCCCAAAAATTCTCAATCAATTTTTAAACTTTCAAAAGATATTTCGATTTTGCTCGAAAAATATTTTACATAGGTTGCCCGGGTAGTTTGTAGGAAAAATAATATTTATATTCAAGAGTTTAAAAAAATTGCTGACCCAAAAAAATATTTTGCATATGTTGCCCGAACGAATTTTTTTTTTACCGCATGTCTACGCTTTGTAGCTTAAATTTTTTTTTATTGCTATTTAAAAAAACGCTTAAAATATAATAACAAATAATTTTCTAATCTAAAATGTTAGGTTTTTTCAAAAGAAAATGCGTTCCCGTTTAAATGAAAGTCAAAATCTACAGATTCGCAATATCCATGAATTAAAACAAATATTTGCGATAATAAAATTTTAGGTTAACAAAACTTATCCTACAGAGAATATACGATGTGGAATTTAAAAATATGAATTATAAATTTAGTTTTATAAAATTTTAAAAGGTTTCCTCAAAATATTTTACTCGATAAAAAAATTAATGCGCCAAAATGTTTTATCAACAAGACATATCAAAAGTAGCCAGACTAACGTTAAATACTAATGCCACTTAACTATTTAATCCAAATTTTTTTTTTTAGGTCTAATGAATATTTTTGATGGTTTTTTTTAAATTTTATTATTGAAATGCAATAGAAAATAAATAAAAGGGAATTTATTTATACACTATTTGATTTTATTATATAAATAAATAAAATTATAATTTAATTTGTTATCACATTATATAAAATAAATTTACACAGAAACATTAATCTCTTTTCCCGACAAGATCATAATGTTCAGTAGTAATTTCTCCATTTTCGGTATTTATTTGCAAGTTACTCTGGTCTATGGGTGAAGTAGTGAGGTTGAACTTGGGCAAAATTTTCGGAGTGCTTTCCTTCTCTAAAAATTGAATAAATAATTCTCCTAAGCCCTAAGTAGATTAAATTAGTAAGGTTATTAGTTAAATAATACTTTATCATCCAAGTTTGAATTAGTATTGTTTCCTGAAGGCCTCCATAAATTGGATAAATTCCAACTTTTTGCGCCTCGGTAGTGTTCAATTTCATTTCCCTAAAACACAAGATTTGGTTAGGTGATATTATAAATATTGAAACCAATTTTTCAATTTCAACGCTGTTAAACTCCAGCATCTTACCTAACAGGAAACCGATTTCAATTCTCTGTCTCTCGGTTGGCGCATTTAAATAGCTCAAAAATAAGTTTTTTATAACTTCCCTATATTGTACATGTATTTTATGCGGAAAAAATTATCATACCGTTCTACCGCCGTTCCTTGTTTTTTCTCCAAATAGCTCATTCTATTCTTTAGAATATCAATTGATTTGTCCTTTTCCATAACTAAATAACCAAAATTTCGTTAATTTTAAATTTTGAAAAATTTATCTCTGCGTGATTCTCATCAATAGGAGCAATTCACCAAGCACCGAGACAATTATAACTACACTCAGTACCTGATGTAATACTCATACTGCCAAGAAAAAATTTTCATTTATTTCATAAAGCATACTTGATTTATTAATGTCATTCAACGCTTTATCGCGCTCGTCTAATTTTTGATTTAAATAAGTATAAGATTTTGACAGGGCTTGCAATTTTTTAACTTCCAACTACAAATTTTGTAAAAATTATATTTAAATAATTATAGGCAAAAAAATTATATTTAAATAATTATAGGCAAACTTCATTATCGTCTAGGGTTGCTTTTAAGTCCGATATAATTATTTCCTTATCCTTTAACCGATTCGTTGTCGCATTTAGTTCGAAAGAGAGGGCATCATCTTTTTCTAAAAAAATATAATTTACTAAATGAATAGGAAAAAAACCTTTTTGAACTCGTTCTAAAGCTGATTGTAAATTGGTATTTTTAGCTTTTAAAGCACAAATTTCATCTTGTATGGTATGCAACTGCAATAAATAATTATCTCGCTGAGTGGTGGTTTGAGTCAATATTTGATTAAGACCTGAAATCTGAGAATCATAATTTAAACTATAAATATAAAATTGTAAATTGTAAGGAATATATTATAGCCCTACTTATTTTCGTTTAATTGAGTTTGCAACAATTGCGACATATCCTCTAAACCAGACATTTTTTGTCTCAATTCCACTTCCCTGTTTTCTGCAACGACTGCTTCAGCGGCACACGTTTCTTCCATTTCCATCAAATGCAATTTTAGCCTCTGTATCTCCTTTTTAAATTTTACATTGTGTTGTTCTTTTATCAAGTTTAGCTGTAACTCGCCGTCTTCAATCTCTGTCTGTAATTATTATATTAAGCAATTTAAATGTATAAATAAACCTGCATGCTGGAATGTAAAATATCTTTTTTGAAAGATAATTTCGAATTTAAATCGGAAATTTCGTTTTCTAAACCCAATTTTTCTGCATCCAATATTCTGATTATTCCTTCACATTTTTCATTTTCATTCTGAAGTTCATGGTACGATTTATTTAAAAAATCCATTTCCGTGTTAAATTTTTCAGCCGATTTTTCATATTGAGCTATGGTAGTATTTTTAGTGTCTAATTCTGATTTCAACGATTGAATTTGCAAAAAGGAATCGTTCCGTTCCCCAACTGCATCAGCATAACACATATTTACATTTGATAATTCCTATTTTTTATTAAAAAATAAATGGGTTTATAACAAAATAATTACCGTATTGGACTGATATTCATTTTGCACGAGGTTATATTGTGACATATAATCATCTCCAATTCTTTGAATCTCCGAGGCTATCTCAGTTTCATTTCTAGATATCTCATCTTTACTCTTTAATTGATTTTTTAGACATTCCACCTCAACTAGCAAATCAGCTTTTTGAGCATCAAACAAAGTCTTCATCGATAGGCATTCATTTTCCAATCTAAATTTATCTTTAAATGATTTCTCAATTTCCTCCTCTTTTTGATGTAACTGTAAAGTATGGGTATTTTTTAATTGATTCATTTCAGTTTTGAGAGTTTCATTTGATCTCAAAAGTAATTTATAGTCATTATCCTTCTCTGCAATTTTGGCAGCATAACCTATTATTTCTTCCATATGCAATTTCAATTCGGCTTCAGATTCTTCTCGGTGTTTTAATAAACTATTTATAACTTCTTGTGACTCATTCATTTCGTCATTTTTTTTATTTTTTAACTCTTCTATCTCATGAAGCAATTTTTTGCGTTCATCTTCCAAGGAATTTAATTTATAGATCAAGGGTCCATTTTCTTTATTCAATGTTTCCAAATTTTTAATCTTAAATTTGTAAACGTCATTTTCTTGGCTAAGTTTAAAGATTTCTTCATGATTTGTCTGAAGTTCGTCGGCCTGGATTTCCTTGTCCAGCTTTACGGTACTAAATTCATCCTCTTTTACCGAGGGATGAGGATACATACTAAATTAGATAAAATAAGTACTAAATAGCATATTTTAATTTACGTGGCATCTTCCAAGCGATCTCTCAATTCATTGTTCTCCTCCTCAAGCAACGAAATTTCATTTTCAGCCTCCAGAAGTTTATTCTTAATCAAGTAATGTTCTTGCATCAATTCTTCTCTCTCTTCCAGCAATAGGCACATTTCTCGCTTTTCCTCCGTCATTAAATTATCTTCCACTATTTCTGGCTCCGTATCATTCGCGGTTTGAGACGCTGATGCTAATATAACGTGCATAGAAAAAAATATATTGGCAAAATTTACTTTTGAAACGAGCTTTTTTAGATACTAATTCTAATTTGATTAAAATCAATTCATCGGTCAATTTCTGACACCTAATAAGTATGCATGTATTTGTATACAAAGAAAATTTACTTATCCTTGTATGACAAAAGTCCAGATTCCATAATTTGAAGATCTGTATGTTCGTGTTCCCGAGAGGATCCACGCAAGAATCCCATGATATCCCTGTTTTTTTCTTCCAGCAAAATCTTATAACTTTCATTTTCAGATGAAAGCTCTGTTAAACGCTTATCATTTTCTTCAATCTGTAGTTTCAAGGTTTGAATCTCAGATATGTGAAGGCCCTCTGATTTGACGGCTAGCAAAAAATATAAAATTATATTACGCTAACAAATGAATAAATACCGTTGTACAATTTTTCGCTTAAATGATCAATTTTATTTTGTAAAGTATCATTTGGCAATTCTTTAAGGACATCGACCCCGCAATTTTTTCCTTCCAATTCCGAGTTCAAGATATTTTTGGGCGGATTATAATTCGTCTTGCTAGCGGATCTGCCCCAATCAGACCATCCTCCTTCATCGGATATCGAAGGTGAGGTTTCGTGATCATCAGCCTCCACACAATTTATTATTCTACCACTAATAGGCAAGGTAAATTCAGTTTTCAAATTTCGAATCTCATCCTAATTTTAATTTGAAAATCAAAAAATATTTCAAAATTTATGAATAGGTAAATTATATTGTGTCAACAAAATATTTAAAAATATAAATTATCAAACGACAACGACCTAAATTTATGTAAAAACATTTTTTTAAAACTTATTTTCAAAAAATAAATTCCAAAAAACTGTCAAAAGTTCTGAGAAAAACTTTAAAAAATCCCCAATTTTCCTACGCTCTACATTTTGTGTTTTGTAAAAACAATTACAAATATTTTCGAATCAAAACGCGAAACAATTAAATATACCAGAAACCAAGTATGGAGAAATGAGAAAAAATAAAAAGAATTTAATAATATTTTTTGTAAAAAAATGATAAATGATCCTCATCAATTCATATATCTACATTGCATTAATATATTACATTACATGTATTACAACAAATACAATAATCAAAGCTGGTACAACAACTTATTATTGTAATGTAATTTAGTTTGCTACAGAGGGATGAAAATGTAAAGAGGCATTCTTACTCCCACCCCCATGCGTATAAAAGTTCATTTACTATCTCTAAATAAAAAAAATTTCTACGAAAATATAAATAAATTCGTATTATAACATTTGTGGTTTTCTTATCTCATTTTTAATTTAATTATGCAAAAATAATTATTTAATTAAAAATAAACAATTCAAATTTTCAATTTTTTCTTATTATTTGTTAAAAATGCTATTTACCTCTTTGGCTTCGAGTAATGCTCTATATTGAGAAGTGATCTTTTTGGTTTGGTACTCACTAACCTCGGATTTTTCGATGCACTCATTCAATTCTTCTTTCAATCGGTCATTCTTTGATATTATATTAATAAAAAAATATTGATTTTTATAGTAAATGAACTTTATAATAATTAATTAAAAAAATTAAATAATACTTTAAAAAAACAGGTAAAAAAACGTGGAGAGTATTTTTAAAAGATTTAATTTATATATATATATAAAGATTTATAAGCATGTTAATAATATACATAATAAATAAAATATAGAAAAATAAACATAATAAAGGTAAGATTTTGGCCACTATTGTTTTTCTATAATAATCAAATTAAATCTATATTTTTTTTCAATATTGGCCAATAGAAAAAAAGTATAGACAGTCAAATTAACTTTCATAAAAAAATAAAAATAGTTTTTCTTATAACTTCTACACATCTGAATTATTATATATTCTCATTTCTACCTATTTTACATGATACTTAAGCTAAAAAATAACAATATTTTTTAAAAGAATGAATAATGTTCGAAAACTGAAAATGTTATGTATATTTATTTATTTCCTTTAAAAATAGGTATTTATATAAAATTTATCACGATACCGTTTAGAAATAGAATAAATTTGGAATCGGATTGAATTTGTGCAAAAAATATTAAATTTAAAACAGGAGAGTTGAATGAATTTTTTAAATAATTATTTTATAATTTTTAATAAAAACTTATTTATAAAAATAATTTTGCATACAACTGCATTAAAAATAAAAAATAAATTTTTACCAAAGAAATGTAGCCAAAAAATTAATTTCAATTTCAGGCAAATATTTTGAAAAAAAAACAAAATAATTATAAATTTCTTCAAAAATATGTTTTTAAAAAAATAAATATATAAAAACAAAAAAAGATTCACAGTAAACCTCTTATATAGTAACAACTCAAGGGCATGAGATTACGTTTTAGTAAGTATAGAGATGAGGCCAATATATAGAATGTTTTGACAATTTTTATTAGAATCTCAGCTGGGAAGTACCGAATTAAAGGGGCCAAGAAAATAAAGTGGTCATTATAGAAGATTTTTCGTAATTTTGAAGTACAAAAATATTAGTACATAAATTTACATCATAATAAGCATACCAAAACGAGTATAATAATTATGATTATCGTTCGAATTAAAAATCTTAGCCAATGTGCATTATTTATTATTTTATCAAAATTATTCTATATTACCTCGAAATATCTTAAACAAAATGTAAAGGTTTTTGAGTGGTCACTTTGTGCAGGTTGCAATTGAGAATTTTTAAAATAAAGAGGCAGAATAATAAATGCGAAATAATTGACAAAATTTATTTGCTTTTCTTAAAAATTATGTAATGTCCATTTAAAAAAAAATTCATGTGAATTAATGCGTATAATATTTTAAAAAGGTATTTTCATTATATTTAATTTTTAAGGTTTTTAAAAAAACTATTGCCACATAAATAATTGCATATCGACACAATGGCATTTTCAATATCCTATATATATAATCTTCATAATCAAAATATGATCGTTTTCGTATCATCATAACGTTATTTAAATTTAAGGAGACTATATAGTGTAATGTTAATTTTTTGCAATCTACCAGTATCGAACGACAAACCTCCCGTTTCAAAAGTACACGCTATGCACCAACTTATATTATAATTACATTTAAAATATTAATTATATATATATTAATGGCTGATATTTTTAAAATTTTGCCGTTTATTACCAAACTAGCTAATAACCTGTAAAGAATGACGGGGCTGAGAGGTAATTAGTTAGTTTGTGTATATGGTACTAAATATACATTAATATATTTTATAATAATATTAAAATTTAAGAGTAAAATTGTTGCAATGTAAATATCAAAATTTAAATTTATGATAGAAATCATATTCGGTAAAATTTAAAATAGAGAAGCTTTAAAATTTTTGAATTTCAAATATAGTGTAGACATTGGCCTGAAATTTTTTTTTGCAGATATTGCCAGGTCTGATCAAAAAACCAAATCCCATGCAACTTTCGTAAAATTTTGCCATTTATTTCTATTGTAATTTAATAACAATGTCTTCAATTTAATTTTATATATAGAGAAATTTAAATTTGTGATAGAAATCATATTGGGTAAAATTTAAAATAGAGATGCTTGGAAATTTTTTAATTTTAAATATGTGCTAGATATTGGCCTGAAAATTTTTTTTGCAGACATAGCCAGGCCTGATCAAAAAACCAAGGCCCACGCAACTTTCATATTCTGATTGTATTTTTAAATGAATTATTACTTTTATATATTTTATTTTAGTACTCAACTACCAAAATTATTATGATCTTTGGTTGGCTTGAGAAAATTTTCCCAACATTATGATGTGCATGAACCTGGCTTGGTATTTTTCTTTAATATTAGATATTAGGCATAGGTGTATTAACACAATATTTATATGGGTCTCAGGTAAAAGCTAATTAAAATATATTTTTACTCAAAAAATAGTATTCACTCTTAGTCTTAATGGGTTGGTCTTGGTCTGAAGTAAGATTGAGCGGGATTAAAAAGAATAAAAAATAGATATGGTTTTAGAGATTTAACTATCTCTGGGCTTGGGAAAAAAATTTCAAAATTATTATGGGTTAGCCAGGCTTGAGAAAATTTTTTTAAAATATTTATGGGTGGGGCTGGTATTGGAAAATATTTTTATAAATTATATTGGGCTGAGCTTGAGGAAAATTTTTCAAAATTATCATCAGCTTGGACGCTTGGGAATTTTTTTATTATTAACTATGAGTCATATATTGACCTAAAACAAATTTTTTTGCAGGCCTGGGCCTAATCAAAAAATCAAGGCCCATGAAAATCTGATTTAGATTGTATTTTTAAATTCATTGATTTTTTAAATATTTTATTCCAGTTATCAACTACTAAAATTATCATGATCTTTGGTTGGGCTTGGGGAAATTTTTTCAAAATTATTATGGCCTTGGACCTTGTTTGGAATTTTAATATTAAATATATGATATAGGTGATCAGTAATATTTTAACAAATAATATTGATATGGGTATCACGTAAAAGCTTTGAATATATTTTGACTAAAATAGCTCCTACACTTGGTTTTAATAGATTGGACATGGACTGAAGAGGGTAGGAGGTTATAAAGAATAAAAATTGAATATTATTTTCAAATAACTGGTAACAACTATCATAAAAGTAAGGAGAAAATTCTCATTCCCCGTCATTTTTGACGGGCTATCTACTAGTAGAGATAAAACAATAAATTCGACGGTTTCTTTTCCAAATGATTATTCCCGATATCAATTATTTATGCATTTTAGTCTCGTTAATAACTTGATCACATGTTCTTTATGAATAGATTATTATTGTCATTTTTTCTTTAAAAATGGTGCAATAAAATTATTCTGTCAATATATTTTCGTATGAATTATTTTAAAATATTTTAAAAAAAGAATAATTCGAATCGAACACAAATGTTAATATATACGAATCGAATATGAATAAAGCGCTATCCAATTCGCATTTGTTTTTGAATAAGTCTAATTTAGAGAAAAACCAGCAAAACTAGCTCAATGTTTTCAAGTAAAAAATTTTAAGCTCAAATTTTTATATAAAATAAACATTATATACGAGGTCAACGCAGACTAGGAACGGACCAATCTTTTTGAGGAAAGCAGACCAAACCGGTCATTTAATTATTTTTCAGCTCGGACCGTGGTCCGGACCGGTCTTTTATTAATATTTAAGTTTGCCTTATTCAATTTATATAATTTTTAGTAAATTTTGTGTATATTTTATGACTTTTCTAGAGGAATTACTTTAGTTTTTGTGATACTTTTTATTTTTTAGTTCTATTTTATTTTGTAACATACTATGAAAAAAAGGTGGTCAAAAAGGCATTTTCCTTTAAATTAAATATTTATACTTTATTATATTATTCATATTTGATTTGATATTGTTAACAAAAAATACTTTTAATATAATGATAAAACAAAAACTAAAATATTTTTAAAATAACAAAAAAATTAAAAGACCGGTGTGGTCTTTTTATTTAGGATACTTATCTGAATCGGTCTTTTATCTGAGGACCATGGGTGGATCCGTGTGTATCGCTAAGGTCCAGACCAAGATCGGATCGTGACCTTCACTAGTTATTTTCAATATAAATAAAATTATATGTTATAGTTATTCATAGCAGTTTTTTTTACATAATATTTTCATTTAAATTTCTTTGATATAAATTTGTAAAAATTTTGTATAATAAAAAAAATTATATAAAAATGATGGATTATAAAAATTATTTACAAGTAACTATCATGTAGTTAGTTACTTTTAAAATTCTGTAAGTAATAAATAGTCACTTTAATAATGTAACTAGTAACTAACTTTTAAACAACACTAATCTCCTGAAATTTCAAAGACGTAATTTCACCGTAACCCCTGGGGACAGAGGATTCAAGCTAGATATATATCAGAAGCCAGTATTAGACCGGCCCTTATTCGGAAATTTATTTCGAACCGGGTTTTTATTTTTGACTATTTACCGTCCGGATTTTTGTTTTTGGTTGTATGCAAATTGAAAATATGAGTAGTAAAGGTTTATTAAACGCTCTATTATATGATTTTACTTGATTAATTGATATGATTTTTTTAAATAGGCATGCCCGACCCAAATATTTAAGGCCCGTTAAAGGCCTATAAAGGGCGAGTTTTGCCAAGATGTCCATTCGTTGCTTTAAAATAATTTTTAACCCGCAGGCTTTAATGACAAATTATTTTAATGGCTAGTTTGGCTCTTTATATATCTATTTTAATGTATCTTTAATTTTATAAAATGTGTAATAATATAAAATAAAGAAAAATGATTTTTAACAGAAGTCTTGCTCATTTCGCCCTAAAAATATTTAAAATTCACTCACCCATTATTTTATAAATATTTTTTAACCAGCTTCCACCCGCTTAATGTTTAAAAATTTTTAGGCCAACTTATGTCGGCCTGAAGGAAGGGCTTGGGTGCACACCTTTACTGCAGATCTCTGCTATGTATTATATTAG